GTGTGTGTGTGTGTGTGTAAATGAAACTCATTAATGGTATGTTCTGAATTACCATGATGCTGAAAAAAAATCTTTAAAAATGGCACAACAAATGTTTATAGACTATTTTCATTGACCCAAAAAGCAATAAAGTGTCTAATAGAACATTTATTCTTAAGAGTGTTCCTACCTTAAAATAATTTCAATTATTTATTAAGTAGATTTAAAAGAATTGATGACGTCATCATTTTTATTAGTACACACTGAAAACTAAACAGCAGTTTCAGGGTCGGAGCCTATTTCAGTTATTCCAAGTATAGACATGTTAAAGCATTAATGCCAAACGTTTTTTTTCCTTTCACTTGTGAATGAGACCACTGCACCCTGCTGCTTGCCATTTGTAGCATGCCTCCATTGCTGCTTAATGACCACCTTAAGATGTACTGGAGGCTGACCAGATACAGTTAATCACCCAACTCGGCTCAAATCATTACAGTTCTGACCTTTCTTGAGCTGCCATCTTTTTCTGCTCCTACATATTCAGAGAAACATCACCTGACAACCAAGAAGTATCAAATCAGGAAGAGACTGGCATTTAAAGATGCTGAGCTTTTCGTGAATTCTGTTTCTTATTGTTACTATAAATGAGCAAAAATATCTTAAATTATTCAAAAAAATTCTAATGTATGATTTTTATGGACACATTCTAAATTCAAGCTCTTGTTAATCTGTTATTTTATTGAGGAAAAAATAAAGAATGGCTTCTAAATAGATTAAATTTGTGGACTAAGATCTTATTGTTCAGATTTTATTTCGACCTTTTTGAACCCGTTTCTTTCTGTCAGGATGGGGAGAGCTTCCTAGTTTTCAACCTAAGTCTGAGCCTGCTTGGGGAGAGCCAGCAGCTCCTACATCAGCTGTTGACAATGGCACCTCGGCTTGGGGTAAACCCCCAGGTGGTGTTGGAGGATGGGGGGACAGTGGCCATGAGCCCCCTGGCCCGTTTGTCAGGTCCAACGGACCCACAGTTTCAGCACCTATCAAGCCAGGTAATATTTAAGAATGAATTGTATCAATATAAAAGCTTGTTTTCTTCAGCATGTGGACATTTTAGCAATTTTAAGCTTTTAAAGTGCAGGTTATGTTCAGTCTTTTTAAACCTGCTTGACGTTGATAGCTGCCATTTCACATGGATAGGAAATGAAACAGGAAGTTTCTTTAGACCACTGCAATTTCTCAGTTCTGAATGTGTTTGTTGGGGACACTTGAGTGGAGTATTGCTAGGATTAAAGCAATTCCACACCTCAGTAGGTCATAGTTATTTTTACTGAGAACTGCAGAAAGAGCTGACTGTGGCAACAGTGACCTCAAGTGGTCAGATTAAAAATTACATGCTGTTCCCTCAGGAATAAATACATAATAAATACTAAAACACTGACAGATTATTTATTTATTTTTTTTGCCTATGTTACTTTTTTAGGCCCCAAACCTATGCAAGATGGCTGGGGAAGTGGAGAAGAAACGAGCATGTCTACTAACCAATGGGACACTGAAGATGGGGACGTATGGAACAGCCCCACCTCCCAGGAGAGTAGCTCCTCTTGTAACTCCTGGAGCAACGGACCCAAGAAGTGTCCAAGCAAGGTCAGAAAGCAAACTTCACTTTTGTCAGACAAATACTGGTAGTCTTGTTGGTAGAAATTAACAGTACGCTGGTGGTGTGTCACAGGGGAAGATGAGCAACAAACCAGATGAAGCCTGGATTATGAACCGTCTCATCAAACAGCTCACTGATATGGGCTTTCCGGTACAAACACTAACTAATACTTGCATGATGTTTGGTTTTTTTCTTCAACTTTAATTTTTTAATTTAAAACGTTTAATTAAACATGTAATATGTTATGCAGTGCTAAAACACAAGTCAAATATATTTTTTGTGTTCAAGTTTTATTAACGGCAGATATTTTACTCGTGTAACAGAGAGATCCTGCTGAGGAGGCGTTGAAGAGCAACAATATGAACCTGGACCAGGCCATGAGTACGTTCACCACCATATTTGTGTTGAGCGCTTTTCAACCACACGTTTACAGTTTCTTTCTGTTAGGCTGGTATAAAATACCAATTAGTTTATCTTATATAGATGTTAGATTGAAGGGAAACCATGCAGTATATTCATTAATTAAATATTGGTCTCTTCTTTCAACCTATTGCTATTCTGCTTCCTGCTTCTAGCCGCCCTGCTGGAGAAGAAGACGGACCTGGACAAGCGGGGCATGGGTTTATCTGATTACAGCAACGGCATGAACAAGCCTCTAGTGTGTCGTCCCTCTGCACGCTCCAAAGACCCCTCAGACCGCTCCGCCTTTCTCGACAAGGTGAGCAAACGAGCAGCTGACCGCTTCTACGAGTACTGTTTGGAAATGATGTGTTCAAATGAAACACACTCATGCAGGGTGGTTAGATTTTTTTCCTTATATGTTTTCCTTTTGCCATGTTGATATGTGACAATATATAGATTTAGGAATGCTTAATGTGTGATCAGTTGTATGAAATCTTATTTTGCACAATTGTATAATTTAATTCTTGTCTTACAAATGCTCTGCTGTAAACCTTTACTTCGCTCTCTACGTATAATTTATGGATTTGTTTCTGCTGCAGGATGGTGTCCTGTCAGATGATGCCCCTCCATCACCGTTTTTGCCTTCCCCCAGCTTGAAGCTCCCCCTGGCCAGCAGTAGCCTTCCTGGGCCGGGTCTGGGACAGGGCAATCCGGGGCTGGCCATGCAAAACTTGAACAACAGACAGGTACTTGAGTCATTATAGTTTCTACTTTAATGTGCAGTGTAGCTTGTAAAATGAGCAGAGCAAAAAGGTACAAGCTACACAGGGTGAGGTCAGTGGAAAAAAGCCAGGCTGATTCTGGCATATCCTGATCATCCACTCCATGGTGAGTTCAGGTTTCTGCTGCCCAGATGAAGGATGAACAGACTGAAAAACTTTTATCCCTGTAGAGATCAGGCTTCTCAACGAACAGTGATAATTTCTGTTTTGTTATTTTAATGTCTCAATGTCTTGTCTAATATAGATGTTTTATATGCCTACTGAGACAAATTGCCCCTTGGCGATAATAAAGATTCTTGAACTTGGATATTAGATGGTCAAAGTGTACTTAAACGGTTGCTCTCTAAACATTTATAGGTTTAACTCCTCGAACCTAGCTGTTATATTTGTAATAGTTTAGCAGAAAGTGTTTCTAGTGGAAAAAAGAATGAATAATCTGAATCACAGGTATCTCTGCCTTCAAGTCTTTCAAACACTGTTGCTCACTTATTGTGCACACGACTCACTGAAGAGGTTGTTAAAAGTTGACAGCAGTCAAGGTTGAGCAAACTAAGCAGGTACTTGAAATATTCAGAGCAGTTTTTTTTCATTCCGTTCTTTGGCACAAATTAAGTACTTACCTAAATGGTAAATGGACTGTACTTATCTAGCGCCTTTCTATCTTATTTCAAGATACTCAAAGCGCTTTACACTACAATCTGTGCCTCATTTACCTATCCACACAGCACTCTACTAGATCTCTACAAAGCTAATTGAACAAATCATTCTAAAGAGACTAATCAAAGCTTTATCACATTCAAACACCAGTGGGACACACATCAGAGGCTATGAGGGGTTCAGTGTCTTGCCCAGGGACACTTGGGTATGTGACTGCTGGTGGATTCGAACCCCCAACTCTCGCATTGGAGGACGACTGCTCTAACCACTCAGCCACAGCCTGCCAATAATGGAATGTGGAAAATGCTGCCTTTTATTGAAGCATAATTTAGTTAATTTGGTCCTTCTGGAAAAAATGAAAATAATAAAACTTTTTATAACATGTAGCAGCTTGCTTGTTTTATTTAGTATAAAATAATGCATGTATATATTATATATACACAGAGTACATCCACTATAAATACTTGGACAACACAAGAAAGTGACACTTATTTCCATTGTGGTCCAATACATAATCAAAATGACAAGAACCAAGATAGAAACATAAAATCTACAATAAAAAAACAATAAATACCAAAACACAAAATGACAAACTTCTAAAACAATTAATGAACAATAAGTAAGAAATTATAGGACAGAAATAACAAAAGCTGAAAGAGGAACTGGACTTGTAATTTAGGACATGATAAAATGATTCAGCTCTTCTTCACCAAGACAGCTGAGAAATAAACTTTTGACCTTCGATTTAAACAAGTATTTAGTAGAAATTGACTGTATGTGTAGTTGGGCTGGGTGCTATGGACCAAAATTAATATAAATATTTTAAGATGAATGGTGATATACAATATATATCTCAATATTTTTTTTTAAATATCGAGATATCGCCCAGCCCTAATGTGTAAGGAGATCATTCCATGCTATTACACCAGTGCAACCGAAAGAGGACTGTCCGAAGGGTTTTATAGAAAGAAGACTAAAGACAACAGACTGGATCTGGTATCATGGTGAGTTGTGTTAGTCCTAAAAGAAGCAGTTGGATCAGAGAGGGTTTGTCCAAACAGTGTATTGTGTTTGAGATTAAGTTTTTGTTTTCCTCGGAGGTCGACTGGAAGCATCTTGAGTTGTTCTAACTCGGTGACCAATGTGGGTGGCGCTCATGTTAATGTTCATACATGCCCTCAAGTATGACTAGGAGGGTTAATGGAATATAAAAACATTTAATATGTTTGTATGTAAATTGTAAATATTGAGACAAGTCTTGAAGCACAATTCAGGACTGTGTTTCCATCCAATTAAGAGTGCTCACTCAGTCACTGAATGAACTCATCAGCTCTATGAACATTTGCATAATCTCCTCTTGTACTTTTTATTTCAACTCAGTTCAGTGTATTTCTACAGCACTGATTCACAACAGAATGCATCTCAGGGCACAATACAGAGAAATAAAGTCCAAATCTAAATTAAGTAGTACAATCAGATTTGCCTTATTATAAATGCCCAATTAGTAATGAGTGGTCTATCAAGGGAAAACGGCATATTATTTTTAAACTTCTTTTAGATGTACAATAATCTCCCATCCTGAGCAGCATGTTGCTAGGCCTGTTGCAATAAACAATAAATTAATTAATAGTTGATAAATTAAAATTGTCAACCTCATTTTCTATTTATCGGTTTTATCATTTCTTCGTGTTTCTCTCTTTCTACTGAAGACACTGGGTATGTTTACATGGACATAAGTAACCGGATCAAATGGCCGGTCGGAATAAAAGTGTGTCATGTAAACACTCCGTTTGGGTTATTTTTTGTGTATTCAGCGCGATCCGATGTAATTTGTGATCAGAACAAAACGGGTGGTTTACGCCGATCCGAAACCCGATCGGTGCGCATGTAAACGCTTGATCTGTTCGTTTTTATCTGATCGTGAAAAACTGACCTGACTGCGCATGTGCGGCTTTGCCATTTCCGCCTGGCTAACGCTAATAATATTACCATGTCAGGGGAGCAAAACTGGTCGGTGAGCGACACAACATTTCTACTAGAAACTTTGAAAGAGCTCAAAATGATCTGTATTACCTGTAGCTCAGTCAGGGTGTGCAGTAACGTCTCCACCGTCATTAAAACCTGTCGCGGGTCCATTTTGGGTGCTCAGGTTTGTTTACGTTCACCCCGGAAGTAGAACTTCTTCTTCTGTGTTTTTTTTAAGGAGAGTTTACCACTCTGCGCATGTCAGTACTGCTGTTCAGAACAAAGCCCGCTGCATGTAAACGCTCGTCATGAACAGATTGTGTCCATGTAAACAATACATTTGAATTATTCAAACAGAACACATTTCATTCCGGTCAAAGAATTCTGTGCATGTAAACATAGCTACTGCTGACAAAAGGCTCAACTCCGGTGCTCTTCACTGACCCCTCCCTTTCTCTTTAAAATATATTGTAACTGTCCAAAATTGTGTTTTTAGAGCGTTTAAAGCAGCTAAGCTGAGAAGCTAAGCTAACAGGCCGACCGCGGGAAAAAACCTCCTTCTTGTTCATGGTTGAAACCCGTGCCTTTGTGTAAATAGTTGTTTTTCTCTGCAAAAGGAAGCTGAGAACTTACAATAATAATAACAATAATAAAACTTACAATAATTACTAATTATTGTCAATTTTCAAACAGTATTATTGTTTATCGCAATATTTTCTGAGACAATTAATCGCCCAGTAAAATTTATCGTGACATGCTTAACTGACTGTGAAAAGGAGCAACTACTTCTCAACAGGAAGGGACCTTCAGCAGAACCAGGTTCAGGATGAGCAGCCTTGTGCCTCAAGAGAGGAAAGAGGCAAACACATGATAACTGGTCCAGGTGTAGTTTGAATGGGGACAAAGAAAAGCATGTTAATGTCAAAAATAATAACCATGTAGAGCAGAGGAAATGAGGTCAGTTTGTCCTCAAGCAGTCTAAGCCTATAGCAGCAGAACTAAACGATAACTTGGGAACTTTATAGTTTCCTTTTGTAATTTAACATGTAATTATATAATTAATGGGACTTGCTGCTGCCTATTTTGACCAGGACTCTAGAAAAAGCATTTTTTTTTTCAATAGGGTATTTTCCTGGTAAAATAAAGTTGTTGTTGTTTGGTTTTTTTATTTTTTTATAATAATAATAATAATAATAATAATAATAAAGTAAATCCAAGCCGACCCTAACTATAGGATTTATCAGAAAGGAAAGACTTGAGGCTAATCATAAAAGTAGACTATGTGTCAGCCTCACGGACAGAAACTGGAAGTTGGTTCCACAAAAGGGGAGCCTGATAACTGAAAGATCTGCCTCCTATTGTACTTGTAGAAACTGTAGGAGCCACAAGTAAACCTGCAGTCTGAGACTGAAGTGCTCTGTTCGAAAATATGGAACAATAAGTCCTGTAATATAAGATGGAGCTAGGTTGTTGAGAGCTTTGTATGTTAGAAGTAAAGGCGTTCCAGCGGGCAGAAGAGGAAGCGCTGCTCCCGGCTTAAGAGGAGAGGATGCCGGGCAGGGGTTATGGTGAGACTACGAGCTAACACTAAAGCCGGTAAACTCCCCATGCCGTCTCTCTTTCTGTCGAATGTCCGCTCTTTGGACAACAAGGTGGATTTACTTCGTCTAAGAGCGGGCGCCTCAGAAGAGATGAAGAAGTGTGCGGTGCTTTGCCTCACAGAAACGTGGATTACAAGCGAAACGCCAGATACAGTCTTCCAGCTGGATGACAGAATTTTTTTCCGAGCGGACCGCTGCAGCGAACTAACGGGGAAATCACGGGGAGGCGGAGTGTGCATTTACGTGAGTAAAAGTTGGTGCACGAACTGTACTGTTGTAAATAGCTCTTGCTCGAAAGGGCACTGGGCTTTCAAGATGGCGCCCGAGCTGGTGGCTTGCCGTTCACCTCTGTCCACTCTGTTTCTTTTTTTGCTATTTTTATCATTTTTCTTCAATAAGATCAGCTCACTACAGGTGTATGATCGCCAGCAACTGCTCAATCTACAATTTTCCACCACTTATCTCGCCTCCTATGAACATTTTGATCGAGGTTCTGGGCCCCCACCTCCGCTGCTTGGGAACGTACCTGGGTATCTCCAGCGCGCGGCATTCGTGCCTGCACGAAAACATCGCTCTCGTCGCCGTGGGAGACGTGCTGGCCGCCTCGTGAGGCTCAAAGCTAGCCTCGCTCGTTCCTCAGCTACAGCTGTCCACCGGATTGAGGTTTCAACACCTGGATGCTTCGCGGAGTCCTGCCTGCTGCAGAACATCGGGTCGGAGGCGTGCAGCGAGCGCGCGTGC